AGCACAAGAAAGTTGATTTGAGAGAGAGAGAGAGAGAGAGAGAGAGAGAGAGAGAGAGAGACTGTCAAGAGCTGGATTTCCAAGGTAAACTGGAAGCAAAGTGGAAAGATGATCACTCCACTTTCAAACATTTGCACAGAGTTAGGAGGAGGAGAAAGATTCCTTCAGTCCCTTCAGGAAAGTCTGGCTGTGCTCAGGGTTTTCTTCCAGCCACTACTTCTTGCTTTTCCTGTTTTGTTGCTGAGTGCTGCTTGTTCCAGGCTGCTAATGTGAGTCAATATTATACTAGCTTGAGTCCTGATGGGTTGCCATGGAAATTATCTCTACATACCATATGAAGTCTATATCAGCCATAAAGGTGGAAAGACTGGAGAGGACAGGATCTGACAGACAAGGAGACAGAAATGGCAGGGTCTCATGCAACCTTTCACCATTCAGGGAAAATAGGAGGAGACACATAAATGTGCAAATAAATATGAATTCAATACATGCCAGTAGACTAGCTACTGGGAAGCCTGTCCCTTGGGTGTGTAAGGCCCCTACCTCTGTTTCCATCTTATAGCTTCTTCTATCATTGCCTCTCTTTGTGCATGGTAAAAAAAGAATTAAATGACTTTGCCTGATCTTAGAAGCTGAAGAGGGTTAGTCCTAGTTAATATATAGATGACAGAATTATCTTTCTGGGGCTGTAGACTAGACTGGAAAGGTGAATAAGTATCTCAGAAGATGACTATGGCAAACGACTTCCAAATTGCAAGAAAACTGCATGAACATGTCCATGGTGTTACCAGGAATAAAGCTGAAAAGGAGTTTACCCTTTTTAACAGGAGAAAACAACAACAACATGGAAGTACTCAAACTCTAGGAGCACGTTAAAAACATTTTTCTGTATCAATTCACAGAAACTGGGAAACCAAACACTGTATAAATGAGAACTGTCTCTCTGTTCCTGAAAAGATAATTCAGCAATTTCAGTCTCTCTCACATACATTCATATTCCTTCCTGGCTCCTTCCAAGTGACCTACCTCTAGGTAGGACATGGACACTTCATATTCCATGTCATTGCTTGTCTCCTCAATAGCATGGAAGAGGTCATTGAGTGTCTGGACATAAATGCCAGGCTCATGATCAGTGCCAAGCATGGTATAGGTCTTTCCACAGCCTGAGATGTAAGGGAAAAGATGAGAAAAATGGATGATAAATGGGAGAATATTTCCATCCTGGGGCTACCCAAAATTGGCACTACATTTTCTTTGAAGGGAGCCTTGCGTTCTTTTGGCAAGATAGATGCTAAAAATGTGCTTTCTGGGATAGGCCAATCTCTGAATGGAATTATGGAACAGAATAAAGATCAAATGAACAAATGACTTTGTTCAAGGACTGAGGAAGAACATTTAAAGTTTTGTGCTTCCGATTATCCTGCAATTAATCAATGGGTGGTTCAGCTTTAAAACAATATTGAGATATGCTTGAAAAAAGCCACAAGTTCAAAATACTTGGTCCAAATATGTTTTCTTTTGACCCTCTTCTATATCCCATGCAAAGAATGTTGCTCCGCATTCATCACAACAAAGGAAGCAGCAGTTCTGAGCTGAGTCCAACTGCTTCCAGGACTACAAAGTCCATGCTTGTAGGACTACAACAGCCCACAGCAATAGCAGCCAGAGCTTGGTTGTCACCAACTCATAGGAAAATGAGATAGACATCTTCAATCAGAACTGAGGCTATGTTCTTACCAGTTGGGCCATAGGCAAAAATAGTTGCATTGTAGCCAGAGATGATCCCTTCTATGAGCCCTTTAGTGGTGGCACGATAGACCATTTCCTACAGGGAGAGATGAATAGATACAAATAGATGAAAACATGAAAGAACTTACTTCCAGGAAAGAAATAGAAGCAATTGCCCTAAATATGAAGGGATGGGTAGCAATGGATCTTATCAGAGGCAACCACAGGAGGGATCAAAAAAGCCAAGATGGCAATTGCAACTGCACGATTGAAGGCCCACCAATTTGTACCTGTGTGTGACACTGACACATGTATAACAGAGGTGAGTCTTCAACTGCACAATCACAATTGCCAACTTGACTTACTATGGATATCCCTGAATCTCATACTTCCCGCTTTATACCAGCAGCTCTTCACTGTTTGACTTTGCTCCTGTCTTGCTATCTGGCCAAACACAATATGCAATTTAATAACTCTGCCCATGGCTGGAATGTATATTAAGATATATATAT